GATCAAAACGGACTTTTTTTCTTAAGTTTTAAGCTGTGCTACAAAGCACATGTACTAGATGCAGTTTTTGAATGAAAAGACATGCTGAGGACTGGCTAGTTGGAGAGAAAGTGGTGTTTTATTGATGCTAGTTCTGAAAGAAAGATTTCGCTTTTATTTATGTGAAGTCCCAAGTAAGTTCAAAATTAGCTATTTGACATTTTTGTGATTGGTATTTTGTGTATTAATTGAGTGCTTGCATATACCTGCTTGCTAACCAATGATTATCCTCCACTGTTCTTCCCTAAAACTTTTCTTTGCTGGGCAGATGTGTTAGTGATGTACACACGTGCATTTAACCAGTTTATTTTGATAGAGGCTTGTTTCTGGAGGTCAGCATGTTTACATTTGCATTCAGTGGTGTTATGGTGTAGAGGCTTCTTCAAGGATGGTAACAAACAACAACCAGGCTGGGGGTTCTTATTATTATAACTGCAATTTTTGCTGCCCACAACGGAGGAGTTGGAAATAAGTGATCTTTAAAGTCCCTTCCAACCTAAGCCATTCTATATGTTGTGATATGATACTTCTATGCTAATTTCAAGGAGGCTTCTTCCATCAGTTTGTAAGTGGAGAAAATGCTGACCTGTCATTTGTGTATACTGAACTATAAATTGAGCGGCAGTTTTAAGATTTGTCAGTTGCAGTGTTTGGTGAGATGTGGAATGTAATACGAAGATAATCTGGCCAAACCTCCTCTTTCCATCCAACAGGCTCTCCTTCTATATCACGGGGATTATTAGCACAGTTAAGTTGTATTTTGCAATGGTTGTTTTAGCCCCCAAGCTGATTAGAGATGGTTAGCTTGTTTATGGGATTTTACTTCGTCTCCATTCTGTATTCTCAACCATCTGAAAGCATATTTGATTTGCTTCTCATGGTTGGCTACATAACAGCAATGTAGTATACTTCCCAGTCTGTCAATATAGAGAACTGGGCAAGAGTGTAACAAACCAGTATTGCTTCGACTCCCCGTCTCCAAGGTAAGGCTAATCAGCTTTTGTTGAAAACAGCAATCGGGGATTACTTCATCTCTCTTCTTTGTTTCTTAACTTCATGGTGCCAGATGCTTCAGTGCATGCAGTGCCAGGAAAAGACATGCATTCACTGGGTTAATAGTGCCACTTTGCATGGAGATATTTCAGTATTTTTTCCCTGATCCAGTGGTGAGTCTGTGGGGGGTAGTTAGAACTCCCAACATCATGCTTTCCGTCTTTAGGCAAGAGTTTAACTTTGTTTTTGTACGTACATTATGGCTGTTTTTCACATTTCATTATTAAAGAACCATCTTCTGATTAAAATCCTGTGCTTTAAAAAGCTTCTTAGTTTAGCTGCTGGCTTTTGGCTGAAATGAAAGAGAGAGAGTTTAACCCAGATCCTGCTAATGTTGTTTTAAAGTCTTTGTGAATATGTATTCCATGTATACTCTGCAGGTTTTAATCAAAGAAGGAAATTGAGGTGGGGGGCACTTTTGTGAAGCAGTTCTACCTTCCAAGTAAAAACATTCTCTGTCTGTGTGCTCTCCTTTGAAGGTTGATAGCACCGTATTTAAAAACATTGAAAGCATAGTCCTTTTGGATCTGCAGGCTGCACAGCCTGAACATTGACTAAGTATTCTACAAAAAGCCACTGGGGATTTATCGCTTCCCACTTACAGCTGGAGCAATTGGGCAGAATGTTTGTTTGGTGGTAGCACTTTCACTCCGGTTGAGAAAACAGATTGGATTTGAGACATGGGAGATTCTGAGCCTTGTGCTCCTGTTCACTTCTGCCACAGCCAGAATAGGCAGATTAAACCTATTAACTCATTAGAGTTGGTTTAAGGCTTTTTGTTTTGTATTACGTGCCTGTCTGTTCAGAAATGTGAATGACAAATATCACAAAACACATTGCTTACATTCCAGAATTTTATTGGAACATGTTTCTGCAATCGTGGAAGATGCTATGCAAAATACTTGGTTTCTTCAGCAAGATGTGCTGAATAAGAGGGTGGCACTCGGTTAAGACTTGATTTTTGGGGACAATTATAGTATCAATGCTACGTATTTTGAGAACTATTAGAGAGTTGTAGAAATTGCAGAAGGTAGGAATTGCTGTGACTCAAACAGGGAAGTTATTAGTAAAATGTTAAAATGGAAATTTGCTTAAAATCCAATAAAGTTAGCAAATATTGACAAAGGTAATTTGCACTTCAAAGATCTGGTTGTGTGCATTTGCATAAATATGTGTGCATATGCACACACACACACACAGTGCATGGAACATGAGTATAAACAATTGAGTTTTTCTCCTTATTTCAGGCAGCATTAAAGCTTCAGTCCATGTCACTCAGCATACTAGTGGTGTTTGCTTGCAGTTTTTGAAAGTGAAGTGATAGGTTTGAGTCTTTGTCTGTTGAAGCTCTCCTTGGAATGTGCAGAACTTGGAAAACTCATTTGTAGTGTTTAATATTGCTTGAACAGGTTCTTATGTTGCGTTTTGATTTCAGCAGAAGCAGGGAGCATCTGCCCAGCATGACACTGAAGAATGTCTGTTTCCTAGGTCATCGCTTGGCCTCGATCCTTGCTGGTAGCGAGCACAAGATTCATATATATTAGCTTAGATCACAGACTTGCGCAGAATTTTGCTCTTTCTCTGTTAATTTATTGTTACTTACTAACTTTTTGTGCAGTGGTAGCATGTACAAACCAAGCAGACTTGGACCACAGTGTGGTAGGCATTGTAAAAGCTGCAGTAAATGTTAGCATCTGCCTTTAAGGAGCTTTACCCTAAAATGTCAGTGTCCTGCAATCCGCTGCATTACATAAATGACTCTGATCCTGTGCATCAATTTACAGATGTCCTGTGTTGCTCTGATTTGATTGTATGAATTACTGCACTCAAACAGAAATTTACAGATTTACAGTATGATTATATGCATTTAGTTTCCTTGAAAGGAAAAACAGAGATTAGATTGTGGTAGACCAGTTCTCATGAAAAGCTTGGAAGAGAATGCAGGCCTGGCAAAGATCTTTATGCATCCAAAGCAGTAACAAGGTGGAGAGTAAGCTGTCCTCAAAGAGAAGAGGTGTTCAGAGAGCTGACTTCACTCTTACTGTGAGTTATAACTTCTAAAGCATTGGTAGTTCCTGCCAGCCATGTTACTAAAACCAAAATCTGAACTGATATAACTCATATTGTTTTTCACATAATTTAAATCAGAAGTATTTTCCTTGCATTTGTTTCTTGTGTTAAATAATTATACTCTTTGTAAAGATGGTTGTGATGGTAGTCAGAGAGGAGTCGTGGTTGCTGGAGTTTGTTATTAAGCATGAAACAGAGTGTACTAAGCTGGAAACTTTGTCTTTGGATTTCAGTAACACTTTGATACTGTTTCTCACAATATCCCTCTGAGCAGAATATCCAGCATACAGCTTGGCAAAACCACAGCGTGGTGGGTGAGCAATTGGCTGATGGGTCACAAGCAGGGCTCCCTAGGGCTCTGTATTATGGACACTGGTATGGCCTCACCTTGAGTGCTCTGTGCAGTTTTGGGCACCATAGTACAGAAAGGACATAAAACTGTTGGAGAGTGTCCAATGGAGGTCTACAAAGATGGTGAAGGATCCAAAGGGGAAGGCGTATGAGGGAAGGCTGAGGTGCTGGGGTTTGTGGGTGCAGAGCAGAGCAGGCTGAGGCATCATGGAGGCTGCAGCTCCTCGCAGGGACCAGAGGGGCAGCGCTGAGCTCTGCTCTATGGGGACAGCGACAGGGCCTGAGGGAGCAGCATGGAGCTGTCAGGGGAGGGGCAGCTGGGGGTGAGGGAAAGGCTGTGCCCCAGATGGTGGTGGACAGGGGAAATGGGCTGCCCAGGGCAGTGGGCACAGCCCCAGTGCCGGAGCTCAGGGAGTGTTTGTACAATGCTCTCAGACATAAGGTTTGATTTTTGGGGGGTCCTGTGTGGAGTCAGGAGTTGGACTCTGATCTTTATGGTTCCCTTCCAACTTGGGATGTTTTGTGATTCTATGAAATTACAGAAGTTTTTGCTAGGAGATAGGTAAAGACAGGGTACTTGGAGAAAACAAAACTGGGGTAGACATTGTGCAAGCCCTGTAACTGTAAGAGAGCTATTGCTAGAAAAAATATTTCCAGATATTTCCAATAGATTCCAAGTCAAGATCTAGTCAGTTCATTGATGTGCTGATTGCATGCAGTTGCAGTTCACTTCTCAGTGCTCAGTGGTTGATAAATATGTTCCTGGAATTCTGCTGGAAAAAAAAAAAAAAGAAGTGTAATAATCTTAAAACAAGAGGGTTGCCTTTTTAGAGGGAAGATCATTTTACATTGTTTGTTCCAAGTAAATACTTTGTGTTGGTCTAGAAACAACAAATTATACTGGGTTAAGGTCAACATTTCACAACTGAATCTCATATATATACACTGTTTAGGCTGTGTATGTTTTGCTCACATCAGTGATGTTCATCATAGTGTGGTCACTGTAGTTATCTCAAGAAAAGGAGAAAAAATGCCTAGTACTATAGCTGTTGGGTTTTCATACATGTTGCATGAATTTCACATTCTTTATAAATGTGTTCCACACAGGAGTGTGTCAGAGATTCACTGGAACACTTTCAGGCTCATTCTAAAATGTGCATCCTGTAGGAGATATTAGAGAGATGCAAGAAGTATCTCTAGGGGTTTGGATGGAGGGGGAAGTTGAGCAAAGACAAGGGCAAGTAGTGTGCATGTTATTTTCGGGTCTGATAATTGTCTCTGTAGACTACTGTTCCATTTCTCCTATGAGTCTCTGCATCATAAAGATCATTTGGAATAAAGGAGGAAATTATATAAATAACGATGGCTTATAAACAACCTAAAACTTAGAATATGTGTGATTTTGCATCTTTTAAAAGAGTATGTATTTGTTGATGCATTTTATAATTTAACACTCACAGTTAAGGACTTCTGTGCTCTCTGTGCAGGTATATGTCTCGAGTCCATGGTATGCATCCAAAAGAAACCACTCGTCAACTGAGTTTAGCAGTCAAGGATGGTCTTATTGTTGAAACCTTGACGGTGGGGTGTAAAGGGTCAAAGGCTGGTATTGAACAAGAAGGATATTGGTTGCCAGGAGATGAGATTGTGAGTATAAAATCTTTGAGAAAATAAATCACGAATTCTGGTATCTTCACATTAAATTTGATTTAATTTCTATTTGAAGTTATTTACACATGCTATGTTGATGATTGTGACCAGGGAAGTAATGTGCTCTTAAACCATTTAACTCTTTCTATTCCATAGGACCTCTTTGTTCTCCATGTGAATTTTCTGCTGTCGAAACCTTGCTCAGTCATGCCTAACGTACATAGTGTTACCTCTTCTACAGTTGCATAGGAAGATATTAGATACAATGGTATTGGTATTACCTGAAATTCTCAGGTGTCCAGGAATAACAGTGATGATAGCTATTAAAATATATTAATACAAAAATTTTGGATCAGTATTGCCTTAATCTGAATCTTAGAAAGGAAAAATTAGTCCATTTCAAAAATTCCAGAGAACCACAAGAAGTTATATATTTTGTTATGTATAAACAGACACTAAAAGCTATGATTTACAGGTAATCTGGAAACGCTGAGGTATTCATTTAGGAAAGATTTTCGTAGTAAATTAGTTACAGGCATCCAGGCATTGTTCCACTGGATATGTAAAATAAATATTTAAATCCAATTAAATAGGTTGAAAGCTATGTAAAGGGAAGAAAAACATGTTTTCTCTGTCCCTAAAGCTAAATTCTTATGTACTCACAGTGCTAACTGAGAATAGTCTAATAGACCAGGAACAGAAGTTGTGCTATTATGTTGCCTTGTTCAGAAGCCTTTTCTCTGCATTTACAAGACAATGATTTCCTGACAAAAACAGTTTAGCAAGGCTTTAAAATACTTGAACTAGAAATGGTTGTTTTGGAACATAAATTTCATTAAATACTGGTAAAATGGGGAACATTTTCCAGGCAGAGATAATGATTTAAACTTTGAAGAAAACCAGAAAAACTCTACGGGAAAATTAACACTAAAAGGTACTGAAATACTCATTGCATAATTGCAGCTGTCAGGGGAATAATATGCTATTTTTTCTTTAAAATTAAAAGAAATATAAACTATCAATAATAGAAAGCATTGTATTTCAAATTATAATTAATTTTTCAAATTAATAATTTGAAGTGTTGCAATATGTATATGGTACATGTTACGTCACTGTTAAACTTTTCATTCTAATTTATTTAGAAATCCTCGTAGGAGTTTCTAGAGGGTATTTAGTTTTGTTCCCACAGTTCCCCGTGGGATCCAACATTCAGAAATTTCTGCTTAGCTATTTTAAATTTTTCTTATGTCATTTTTACGTGTTTAGAAGTGATGTTAATTGTGTAGACACTACAAAACATAGTCTGATACTTGTGGTGATCACAAGTGTTCAATGTGTTTGTTTCCTCTATTGCTGAGAAGAAAAAAGAAAAGAATCAAACTGCCTCACAATAGCCATTTCATAAAGGGTCATTAAAAAAAAAAAAACAAAAACAAAACCAACAAAACCATGCTTCTTTTTAACAACATTTATCTAAACAAAATGGTATGATAATCAGTATGTGAATTCCCAGTGAACCATTAGAATTAAATTATTATTTTATCCCAGAATGAAAAGAGTTCTCTTTGACGTAGCTGAAGATATTACGTAGGCCACAGTATGAAAAGCCTTTTGGTTAGAAGTACTGATTGCTGAGCACTGCTGCATTATGCTGTGCCCATATGTCTGACAGCCATCTCAGTTGTTCAGAACACCAGTGCACGCTTGACTTAATGGCTTTTTGCATTAGTAGGAATCAGGTTCCAATCAGGGCCATGTTTCAACAGTACCTGGCTTCCAGCATCTCTGGATCCTAATACTGAAAATGCTGCAGACGCCTGAAGCAAAAATACATTGACTTGATATAAAGGAATTCTTTGGGGGGGGTTTATTCAAAAATTTTTAATGAGTAACAACATTATCACTTGACATCAGATCCAGTATTTTCCATTCTCCAACAATTGGTGCAAAACTGTAAAGTTTGTTATGTTCCCTACGTTGGACTGAATGTGAAACTGGATAACATTACACGTACTTTCTCTGCACTTGATCAAGATGCAATTTGTAGTTTTGTGTAATCCAGATCTGGTACTAATGACTGTTGAACCATGAGTTCAGGTTACATTTCAGTGAGGACAAACACACAGGAGTCTTTTGAGACATCCACCCTTAGGAGGTAGAACTTTGAAATGGGGCAGTTAATGTTGGAATAGTGATTTCAGACTAAGCAAACTATGGCACTCACAGACAGATCCTTGACCCTATTGGCAAGCATCATTTGACTGGTACTGCCAGAGCTTTGAAAGCTCATAAAGTGAAAGACTTGAGAACTGATCTACCACATCTGTGCAAAAAAAAGCCATTGGATTTCAGCTTGTTTTCTGGCACCACACTGAAAGTCAATAAGGAACACCTGTTTCAAGGAGTTAGCAAAGGGAGACATTCTTCTCATCCCTCCTTTGATTTTTTTTTTTTTTTTAATCTGAATATTTACTTGAAGTTTCTTTGCATTTCTGAAGTTGTGGACCTGAATCCTATCAATTAAAATCTGTATTCAAATAAATAAATCACTGATCTGGTCTGCAGATACTGCTGAGCACCTGTATCTGTTATTCAAGTAGGTGCCTGACTGCAGGATGACACAAGGCCTGAAAACTGCTTGTTTATATGGTGACTGTAGATGGATTGCTAAATGGTAACAATAATTAAAAATATATGGATTATGAAAATGCAGCTCTGTTTGAAAAAGATTAATTAGGTAGTTGTGGTGTTTACTTTCTTGTTTCCAAACCCTTGTGCTATCCATAGTTTGACGTAACAACAGATAAATGCAGTAAGGACATGATGTCTGATTTGGTTTCTCACAGCCCTCAGAGGAAGGTGTTAAAAAATTTATGCTGCTTTGCTATCGATGTTCTGTCAGAATGGTGGTTTAAAAAAATATTTATTTGTTTGTTTGTTTATTGAAAATGAGGCAAAGTATTATGTCCTCAGATGTCATACAAAAGAACTAGCTGGTGTGCAAAGATAAAACAGTTTGGGTGCATCAGGAGGAGGCCTTTCCAAGAGAGATGTCATCTGAAAATGAATGTTCTGAAAAACTGCAAAAAAAAAAAAAAGAGTGATCAGATTAAAACAGCATAAATTTGTCCTCTTTTGCTCTGATGTGTATGGGGGAGAGATTTTTATATGTGTTACTAAAACTAATGTAATGTATGAAGCCAGTTGCCCAATATACTGTATTCCAATAGACATTTATGGGTCGGTAGCTATGCGAGAACTTTGCTGCAAGTGTTTTACTTCCAAGACTTGTGCAGGTACTCACTTTATTTGCTCATTTACCATCTATACAGATGTTTTGAAAATGTTCAAAATCTGTTCTCATCTTACAGGCTTTCTCATCTTACAGATGATTAATGCATTTGACACAAAATAAATAAGAGAAGAAATTATTTTCCATTGTAACCCAGCATTTTAGTCAGTAATTTTGCATTTTCACTGTCTGTCATTGACATTATTATGCAATTCAACAAAATCTCTGCAGCTTCTTGCCTTGCAAGGGAAATGTCAGTCCTGAAATCTGGTAACGGACATTTACTTTTCCTTTCTAAAATCTTTATTTCTATTTCTCACAGAACTTTTGGAATTTGGAAGTGTTATTTATTCTCAATAAAAAAACAAATGATCTCTTTGCTCTTCAAGTTTAGAAAAAAAAAAAAAAGTGTTGTTAACAGTGTTGTAGATACAGTAACTACAAGGAAAGTGTGGTTCTTGATAAAAATAGTAATGAATGTCCTTACAGATTAATTTCTGGTTTAAAGTTTTGCCATTACTCTTGTGTACTTCTGTCATGGTAAAATAGTGGTCAGTCTAATCTCAGTGAAAGAAATTAATTAAAGCACTACCTTTATGAGGTCTTAGATGTATTTCTTACAGTTAGTGTGCCTTACTCACTCTCATATTTCTGATTTTTCTACAGACATTGTGCATGGAGGTATTTTGAGCACTGATTGTGCTAATTCTTCTCATGATTAAAGTCATAAAATTGCAGTGGCCCAGCAAGAGGCATTATTGTGAATATATAGTTTCAATTTACATGTGTTCATAAGGCCAGATTATATTATGTTCTTCTAAAATGGAGATGTGTTAATAGCACACATTTATTGTTTTCATTTGAAGGCAACATACTTCATAGCATTGCTATGGATTAAAGCACGTAGTGACCAAATTCTCTAATGACACATGAAGGGTGATGCTTCACACTTTATTAGAGTACTTTGAGCTATTTCTTCACTGCCAAAATAGATACGAGTTGGTCATGCTTTTGAGAGGCCACTTTTTTATAGAAGTCTTTTTTCCCCAAAGCAATTGTGTAATTCACTGCTTATAGATAGAGCCTGGAACTCTTCTGGCTGGTTAAGTATGACTTTGGGCTGTAGTTGCAGTCATTTGTGTGTGCATTTGTTGTTCTTCATATCTCTAATTGTTGTTTCTCCAATTCTTATATTGTAAACACTTTTTAGTTAGGTGAAGACCGTGTCACTTGGAGGGGTAGTTTTCTTGCTTTCCTCCTTTAAGAAAACATTAGAAGAGTGTGATTTTTCCCTACACACCATGTATTTAAAACTTGCTAACTCATCCTGGCAATTTTCTGATATTTAGTATTTGAAAAGTACTGCTACTTGCTCATAGTAACTCCAGATACTTTCAAGTCCCAAGCCTGCCTAAATTAACCATCTCTTCACTGTGCTTTACCATCATTTTAGCTTTTTTGTGGCCCCTGCCAGCACTGTGAATTTATTAACCCTACTAAGCTCAGGTAAACACCGAGAGATTACTGTGATTTGATGTGCTGCAGCTTTATTTTTATGAGGCTCAGTCTATACAAAAGATATATTTTGGTTGTTATGTTTCTGTTAATCTAATTTGCTTTAGATCGAACTGGGTTTCTTTCTTGTTATATTTAATTGCATTGGTAAATATATTTTTTTTCCATGCCAGGGCATTGCTGATATCCT